AGCCCCCCCCCCCCCAGGTTCTATTAAAGGTCTTGCACTGAGACACCCAAAACCATCACTCCTAACCAAAAGTCACACCCAGAGTCCTTAAATGACACCCTAAGCTCTTTCAACGATTTCGTGGTCACTCCCTGCCTCAGTTTCCTCAGTTACACAATCACGAGTTTAATTCTTATTTGCTAACGCTGACAGAATGTGGATAACAGTTTGGGGGGGGGGCTGTTTTCTCCATTTAATCTGGCACAACGCCCATGATTTACTGCTCGGGTTTTTTGGGGTTTTTTGTTTTGTTTTTTTTTAACACTCCAGAAGCTCCACCCTTGGCTCAGAGCATCCAGTTCCAAGAGAAAATGGCCAGAAATTCTCTCCCCATCGCGAAATTTCATGTGGAAGAAGCAAGCCAGCTGCATTGGCCACCTTCTGCTTCTATAACCACTGTGAAATGTAAAGAGATGCATAAACCTACATGGAGAAATAAAAGCTCTTCCAGTACTGTGCTGAGGTATTAGGAAGCACATGTACAGGGTAGCTAAGCCTCTCTATTGACATCAGTTATGCCAGATGACCTCTTGGTACTTCAGTTTCAGCCAGACAACAATGTAAACGTTATCGTGCATAAAATGAATTGTTGTCACAACAAAAAGAGGTGCTACAAGTTTCCAGGTAAGCCAAGACAAACAGGAAACTCAAATGGTTAAAACAACATATAAACAAAAGAAAACAACCAAACATCACATGGCAGGAGCTCCACAAAAAGCTGGCCCAAACCAGCTCTCCAAATACACCCGAGGGCGAAAGGAGCATCTGCTCCCACACACATGTTGTGACCAGTGTCTGCACCAGCAGCCAGCACTATGAAATAAATGACTCCAGAAAGCACACAGAGCCTTACCTGCTGCCCTCGACCTTCCCCACTGGGCACTGCCGGCTCCACCTAGGCAGGGCTCTCCTCCAAAGCCTCTCCCACCTCCAGAGCAGGCAGACCACTTATTCCTACAGTAAATACAATTTACTACAGCTGCTTTTAACATACACCCCTGCGAACTGAGCCCACCTACCACAGGACCCACAAACCTCCTGCCCAACCCCAAACCCCATCAGCAAAACTGATGTCCCTGGGCACGTGGGCACTTTCAGACAATCACAGCCCCTGACAGCTGCAGCTGCCATCCCTCAGGGAGCCCTAAGCTCTGCGGAGGGAAGAAACAAATTGAGAAATTGTTAAAAAATAGCTGCTTTCCTCCCAGTCTCCTGCCCAGGGCTGTTAATTAAGTCCCTAGTGAGAGAAGCACACTAGTCCCCCAGTACTTTTCACAAACACCTGTGGAGAAATGAGAGCTTCGACCAGGGCTGAGACTGGGCTGGGCAGAAATTTGGAAACCCCTTTCTTCTGGTAGACTGTAAAGTGTCTTGGGATCTGTTTTCAAATTAGCAAAATATTTCAGGAATCACAAGGTTCGTGTTCTTGTAGTACACATGAAGCCATGTGCTACTGTGAAATGGCCACAATGAGTATGAAAACAGAATAAATTTTTTTCAACAGTGTTCTGCCTTCTAAAACAAACAAAATAAAATGTGTGGTTGGAGCTGTGAGTTTTCCTGATGCATCAGAACCATCATCCAACTTCATGGGAAGGACCACAGAGCTGATAGAAGATTCTGACCTATTTGATTTCTCAGGAAGAAGCCTTGGTATTTATGAGCTGTGAAGTCTGTCCTTCTCTGTCAGAAAAGAAAGCTATAAGACTAAGACTTAATTCATTCCTCCCACACATCACTCCTTTAAAAGTATCACACCACTGCTCCAGGTTGATACACTTTATTCAGTTTTCTTCACTGTTACCAGCTTGTCCTTAGAGCTGATGAAGTCACTTGCCCCATAACCTGATGGTAAAATTCACAATATACAATGCACACAAGCTCCCAACTGGCTGCCAGATGGCAAGAAAGTCATCTGATTCCTATTAACTTCATTGGATTTGAACCCAGGAGTTGAAGAGCCCCATATCTCGCAGCCAGTCTTGGCTGAGTCAGTTCCCTGCTGCCCTCCTTTCTTTGAACATTCAGATTCCATTCACACAACAAGACACATGTCCAGCCAAATACCACCTCCAGCCCTAGCTAAACTAAATCCAGCTACCCACGTGAATGATGAGCACAAACTTAACTATGCAAATCTCCCAAATACATTATCTGAGCAGACACTTGGGGTGATCTCTCCTATGGCAAGTATAGCCAAACCACCTGCACTATCTTCCAGAAAAAGCACTTTAAATATAGTAATGATTTTAAATTCTTCGCTTAGTGTAACTGCTCACATCACTTTGCAGATTTAAAGCCATGAGGCAAAGGTATGTTAATCAACCCAGATTTATGGCAAAGCTTAGAACAAAACCCACTCTCTGCCCATAGTGTTAAGCAGTAACTAGAAACACGATCTTCCTGTGTGTTAACACCTCCTCTTCCCGGTGTCATTGAGAATAATGAGATAAAAACTGCAGCAACACAGCATGGAATGGAAATTAGTTGGAAGTCCTTGATAAGATTGTCTTCATTGCAAGGTGATACTGCTTTGTTACTTTTCAGCTGACACGCAGAGAACTGGCAATAGCCTTGTGGTATTGCATGGAGCCTGAAATGCATGCATTCCAACTTCTTCAGTTGAAAACTGAATGTCATGCATTGATTTTCTATTCAGCCTAGAAGTGTCTTTCATGACCTCAGACCTCAGGCAGTTGGCCTGAGAGCTCACCCTAGAACTGCAGATTTTGACAAGAAAATTCTGTTAGATGTTACACCATAACTTTGTTCGAAGGGTGTGGAGGAAATGCTGTCCAACCTGTTAACTGCGTAAAAGGTCCTTTGAACTGTAGTTACCTGTTGGCACAGAGCTCAGTTAGGCAATCTTAAATGTTTGCATTTGATTATACATATAAAGAAAATGTGAAGCTGTGTCACACTGAACTAAGATAATTTCAAAAAGACGTGGATAAACGGCTCAGGAACACACTGCAGGAACACCTAGAGGTCTCTGCCAAGGAAAAACAGATGAGAGAGACCTCAGGTCAGCCTTTTATGTTAATTCATCTGATCATTCATCCATCCATACTGTCACCATCGTCCTCTTCAGTGCCAATGGTTTTTGATAAAGCACAAGGAAGGAAAGTTTTGAATGGACAAAACACAAAATCAGTATCCTCATATGGTGGCCAGTCCTCATATTTGCACTGGATTCTCCCACAGCACCTACATTTTGGGAGATTGAAGTTCACGTTGCAGACTCACATACACAGAAGCACAGCAACGGGCAGTTATCAAGGGTTTTCATGGGACTGGTGGTAGCATAAAAACACACACAAGAGAACAGAAAGTATTCTTGTTACCCAGTATACAGGTACCCCACACTCCCTGTGGCCAGGCTCCCAGAGGGTATTTGTTGTGTAGTGTGGAAGAGCTGGTAATGGGGAAACTACTAGAGATACAGAAAGGCAGTTGCTTTGGTTAACACTGTGACTGCTGTAGAGGAAAAATTTAGGGATGAGTAAGGGAGGGAAAAGACAAAAGGAAAAAGATGCTTAATGTCAAAGGGCTCCAATGCACATCCTGATTTTTAGCATCAGCCCTTTTGGGTTTACCCACATTTCTATGGAATAATTCCTGTGTGGTGAGAGAGAAAGTAAATGTAGTTCTGCAGGCTATATGCCAGAATATTCAGGACAGTTGTAGATGATTTATAACTTAGAAAAGACACTGAGATCAGTGCTTGGACCACACTGGCTCTTTCTCTATGACAAGGCACAGGTCTATATAACGCAGAGGGATTAGGGCCTATCCATCCATTGAAGACACTCATGAGACATCACGATTCTGATGCCAGGGGAAAAAAAAGTTCCCATTTACTGCCTCCTGGCTCTGCCTCATGAGCTGCAGCATATCATGTGCACCACTAGTGTTTTAGCCTATTTATTTGCTTACAAAGCAGATGTTTGACAGGCGCAGAAATAATTCCTTCAAGATCTGCAACAGCTGTGGCCAGCATTCAGATAAGAGGCTCAATATTTCTACAGCCATCCAGCCAAGGCCTTATGCAACTTGGTTAAATTGCCTTTTGAGACACTGCCTTGCCAGCTCGAGTAAGTGGCAGATACCTCTCTATGGGAGAAGAAATAAGTCTTTTGTTAGACGTCAATTTGCTTTTCCTTTGGGCTCAAATTTTGAAACACTTTATTTTTTTCCTCTGTATTGTTTTGGGAAGGTTTTCATAATGTGGAGTCTTCGTGCATCCAAACACGTGCTGCTCCTGCCCCTGCCAACCTTCTGTGCTTTGGTGTGGAGGCACATCAACTCTGTCTCTGTATGAACACAGAGCCTTCCTGAAGTCCATGGTGTTGAATGTCCATTTGCATAACCCTAGTCCTCCTCCTGTCTGCCTGACACTGTTTACTCTGTGCAGGGTAGAGTCTACAGTTGATGTGTGAAGTTTAAAAGGTTCTCTTTCCAGAACTAAAATATCATTCTGTCACCATTCACTAAGGAAAAGAGAAACCAGGCTGAACTCATCAGTATCCTTTGGGTATCTGTCAACAAGCAAAGGAATGTCCCAAGACAATTTTGCGCACTAAATGGAAAATGTGGGAAGATACAATACAGAGGTACTTACTCTCTGTGGACACAAGCCATCAGCAGTATCTCAACACTGACCTAGTATTGTACCTACTCGATAAAGCAAACCCAGTGTCAGGAATCAGTGCATGGTCTCAACCAGCAGCAGGTACTGCAGGTTTGGCTCTTGCTGATTAAAATATGTTTTTGCTATAGTCCACATCTATGGTATCATCACAGCTTCTTGGTTCACTGAAATCATATCTGGCTCAGAATTTAAACAAAAGAGCTGAGTACGTGACGCAACAGCAAATCTACCTGGCACATTTCACCTGTGGTTTTGGGATGCTAGAAGTAACAGAATATATGCTGATGACGTGGAAGAGCTGACACCAAACCAGATGGAATTAACACACAGATCTTTAATTAGGAACACTATGGAAAAAGTGAAGGTAGAACAAAAACTTTCAAATTTCCAGTGAGGAGCTGAGAATAAAACTGAGCTTCATCAGTTCAGACACAAATTTCCTCAGGCTTGATTGCTCTGGGAGTGGTCATCACAAAGGCAGATCTAGGAAACAGAACAAACATGAGTGAAGTTCAAAACAACAGCACACAACCACTCTTTGCAAAACAGGAGTCACAAAACAGTCAAAGGAACTATTGACACTTCACCCTTCTATTGCATTTCCCTTTGGAGGACTTCAGTGCACTTCACCAAAGACACGTGTCAGATTGTGATGCTTTTACTCATGCACATGGCTGTCTATGTGACCTCATTTGATTTTATGGTCCAAAGCAGTATATGAAGTACAAGGGGATCAGACTCCTGCCCTAGCTGATGCCATGTCAGTCAATTTAGGATTGTTTTTTACTGATGAAAACGTCAAGTCAGTAATTACTGACACTTTCTCTTGCCACTAGTCTTGATATTCAGAGTCCAATGTAACATCACTAAAAAAACAGAAATCTGAAGATGAAGGTACTAGTCAAGGAAAAATGGAGAAATACCTGAGGTGTTAAGCACTGCTCTCAGTGGTTGATACACTGCATACACAACATTACTTACTGCATTAAAAGGTATGAAGATCTCTGGCCTGCTCTTACACTTGGTCTTTCAGATTCAGATGAGGGATCATCTTAGCTTTTCCTTGCACTCATGAAAGATGCCTGAAGACAGGCCCACTGAGGTGTGGGTAAGCTGAATCAGGAGCCTGTTCTGTGCTACCCTTCCCCCTTTCTGAAAGAAAGGTCAACCCACAATGGCAATTCCACAGTGAGTAAAGTGGTGACCATTAGATCACCATAGCATGGCATACTCCTATTGTTGTCATGATCATCCTAATAAAGAAATCTTCATGAGGCTTCTCTTGGGTGTAGCTGTCGTTAATAAGCATTTCCTCTTGTAATTTATTTCAGTTTAGTTAAATGATAATTCCACTAAGAAACAGTGTCCATAAAGCAATGGTATATATGACATGATCCTGCAGATGGTTAACATTTAAGAGAACTAAAAACATCTTAAATGCTTTTAGGGACATTTCACAGTAGTGAGAAATGAAATTAGATGGATTGGATTAGAATAATTTTTTTCTGGCCTATACTATCAGGGATTTCTAGGAGCTTGAAATCACATTGTGAATCCATTCTTTGAAGTGGAAAGAAATGAACCAGAATTTCCTAGAGATTTTCTGCTGTTTCTATAATTTCCAGGTGCAAATTTTGTTAATTCTTCCCCTTTTAGACCCCCTCTCTGAATTTTAAGTGAGTGTTTAGAGAAAGTCCTCCTGAGCTCTGGCCAGGCTTATTGAGGTAGGGACTGCCTGTGTGTCCCCTGCCTTTACATCACCTTTACAGCCCAAGACTGGGGCTTCTCTACTCTGTCATGATCCAGTCAACATCTCTGAATATTCATTAGAATCTTTCTGACTTTGTGTCATGTTCAAGTGTTGAAGTGCCCACTAATACCAGAGATGCTTCAGTGTGGGAATCAGATCCAATTAGACACTGTACTTTCATGTTTCATCCAGTAGCCCACAGTTTGAGTCAAGGCAAGCAACTGAAATGCTGATCAAGGGGAATGGAGACCTCTTATTTATCTATGGCACAGATCAACTCAAACCATAACTGCTCAAGAAGATGAGAAAGAATGCTTTGAAGAGCCAGTGCAGCCCTGGGAGCTGCTTCACAGCAAATATCTTCATTGTAGTGTTTCTCTTTACTCAAGTATTTCCATTTCTTGGTGGTTCTCATTGATGGTGTTTTAGCTTACAGAATGGTCAAGATCTTTCCCTGTACAATTGCTCAACATGGTCACAATTTTTGAGACAAGTTGTGTTAGTCAAGGGCAGACCTTGGACTGCCATGCCGGAATTTTGCATTTGCAACTTTTCTGCAAGCATATTTTTCGGTTTGACTCTCAGGTCAAACATCTAGCTGATATATGTAGAAATAATCTTTTGTGGACACAACTCAAATGAATCTGAGTGTCCAATGAGAGAATTATTGTTTGCAACTGATTGCACTTAGAGTTGCAACACAGGGGAGAGTGGTTTTTTGCTTTTTTCCCTGCTCGTCGCCTTTGGAAATTTCACAACCTACAGTTAGCCAGACTCTGAGTCTGAGCTGAGGATCTTGCAACACTGGTTTATCTATGCCACTGAAAACCAAATCTGTACAGCGTCATAACTTTCATTGATCCACCAGGCTGGATCCAAGCTGATAGCAGATCCGATGCGATCTCAGGCAAAGAAAAAGAATAAAATCAGATCTGTTGATTCAGACTGACGTGGAATTGCAGCCTGGCAGCACATAAGCCTTCTGGTTAGCAAACAGACTGCATGGCCCAAAACTTCATTCAGGACAAACTCTGACACAGTATAGTAAGGCAGACATGTCCCCATCACAGACAGAAAGATTCTAGTCTCCTGGGACCTGTGGGGTACAGCCAGAAGAGGTACCACAGACTTCCTACAGTGCAGGGTCTTTGAAAGCTACAGCCCAGGGCCAGAGACCCAGGTGCTCCTCAAGCAGATAACCTCACATAATCAATGTTCACTAGTCTTGCTGATGAGCTTTATAAATGTTCTCATTGATGCTCTTGGTATATATGACCTGGTTGGTTTTGTTTGCATTTTTCTCTCTATTTATTTTCTGCTACTACGTTAATGTAGTCCTCCCTACACTCACTATTGCCTGGATCTGTCCCACGATCTTGTTAATGATGTCACAAGCAGGGTTTATGACCACTTGTGACAGCACATGCAAAAATAACTCTTCAGGAAATATGGAAGCCACTGGAAGGACTGACATACCAGGAGGCAGGAATCCCACTTCTGTGTGAAATGTCCCATGTCAATAAAACATTAAAGAGGGGGAAAAGTATGTGGAGTGTAAGGAGCTCTGCATCAAGCATTGGATTTTCCTTTAAATCTCATTCCAGGCTCAACAGAGAGACAAAGGATCAGGGACTTCACGTTGTTTCATCTCCTTTGTTCTGCATTCTTGAAGGGAACAAGTGAAACCACGAGGACTGACCTTTCCTAGAACCTCTTCCGTTTTTCCTGGAAATCAGTCTTCAGTCACATGGTAGGGTTTTACTGCTCTTTAGGAATTCCAGATCCTGAATGAGGCAGACTGTAAACAAGGAAACCTGACACCTCAAGGACAGAAGGAGAGAACAAGATGTCCATAGACACACTGGAGTGTTTTCGAGCACTGCAATGTGTTCTGTGATCTGTTTATAAATGTACCTGTCTCTGAGTGTACACACACATCTATACACAGTCCTACAGAGCACATACTATCATTTTTTCTCCCACATCTCTCTGAAAGCAGAAAGACTCAGTCATAAACAAAGTGGTATTCTCCAGGACAGGCACTGCTCTTTCAGCCCAGTCGCTATCACAGCCCTCCCCTTGTGTCTGCAGCTCTGTGGTTTCAAACCCAGTTGTTTTCTAGTATAAGGCAGGGATTGCCACAAACCCTTGTTTGTGGGTGCAAGCAGGTACATGAGCACCACAAGCTGTCACTCACTAACGGCCTCTCTTAGTTAGCTGGTTATTAAAAACCAGTCCAGCTTTTAAGGACCATAGCTGACTTTGTCGTTGCTGGAAACAAGACATGGAGTGGGTGCTGAAGGGCAGACAGATGATTTTTTTGGCAAATAAGAAGCATGATTTAAAAAAAGAGATGGGACAGACTCTTCAAAATGCACAAGGAGAAAAAAGTAACTTGGAGAATCGGGGTAGCAGCTGGATTGGTACACCACACCATTGAAACCCTTGCCCAGCAGGAAAATGATAACACAGGAAAAGCTGAATCTTTACACTAGAGCATGTTCTTTCTTCTCCAAGTCAGATGCAATTTACAGTCCTGTGCCAAATGTTCACATTAACTGCAAAGAGCTCCTTAATCCTAAGACATTTTCAGTCTTAACATTAAACAGCTACCCCTTATCAGAAAACTAAACTTAATACAGCTGAAACTCACCCATAAACAGGGTCAAAAATGGCTTCTTCTCCCTCCATTTATAATAGAAAACTTCTAGACAGTTGTAGACAAACGTTTGCTATCAAGTCCTTCCCAAGAGAGTTACTGTCTTGCCATTTACAAAATGTTGATCAAGGAGCCCTGTTTGCTTAAGTCTGTTTTGGAGGCATAACTCTGAGTGGTACTGTGAGAGGAACATGCACAATCATAGCATCCAGGCCATTAATTAAAGCCTTATAAAATCCCAGCTGAAGTTACTGGAAGGATTCCCATTGATCCATTAGATTTTGGATAAGGCTTCAAATACAAAAATTGAACTGATAAGCGCAGAGCCCTCTCCCCTCTCTTGCTGGATTTTTCCTGCTATTTGGATCCTTTGCATGTCAAATGCCATCAGGATGAATGACCAAAATCTTTGCTGGAAAGAAAAGGTGGTTTATTTTGTGTGTGGTCCCTTCTGCATTGGTGCTGGGGCTTGGTTCAAGCTGCCAGGTGCTGTCTCTCCATTTTCCTGGTGCTGTGGTATCTCCAAGGCCTTGCAATACCAACGAGGCTGTGACTAACAGCACTGCCCAGAGTAAGGAAGGAGCCCTACTGCCAGTTTTGCCATATCCCACTGAGACAGGATGAGCTTTACTGGTTGGGGTGGACAGTGACCTTCGGAGTATTTAGCTGAACAGCTTCTCATAACAAAACTGTTTTCTTATGTTGCACGTGGAGCCATCATAAGAGCTATTCACAGAATCTTTCCTCAGTCCTCTCCATTGTTATACACTGGTTTAGCCCACAAAGCACCAAGATCAAAATATTGGAGTGGGATAAATGTGAAACCATTGGAAAGAAAAAACCTCCCTTATCTCAAGGACTGTGGTGGTACAGCTTCTTGGTTAGACAGCTGCTGGGGACTCATTTTGTTCTAGCCCTGAGCTAAGCATCTGCCAGATCGTTTTTCTGGTGCAGTGTTATTTTCTGTAAAAATAGAACTAATAATTAGATGGCACTAATATGACTTGTACTCATCCTAAGAGGCCTAATAAATAGAGGAAAATTCATGAGGAAATACACTTGGAATACAACGTTAGTACTAATCATAAAATTGAAAAATTCAACTCCCTCAGAAAAATCAATGGGCCCATGAAGTCCCTGTTGTTCCCTCCTGCACGAGTACAGCTACACGAACAACTCACCACAGCTTTGCCATCCTGCAAGGAGTTGCCTGTCCACAGTTGGATACACCCTTGGATAAATGTCAGTGTGCTTCCTTGGCCATGAAAGCATGGGAAGCTGCTTTCTACCCACTGCAGTGTCACAGAGGGCAGCTGGGCTCTTACTGGGCAGGAAAAGACAAGCCAGCAATCAGCCCAAATTTACCTTGCTCATGGAGCCATAGCCTGGAGCTGCTGCAAGACAATTCTGGTTCCAGATTTTCATCTCTGGATCCTCTGAACATAGTTCTAATGGGTTGAAACATCTCAGAGGAGGAGGAAAAAAACCGGCCAACAGCAATATCTTTGGCCAACCAGCAGATTTTTCTTTCCTGACAATCCACCAGTGTGTAGATGCCTGATGGTTTGTATCCCTTCTGGTATTTTTCTCTCCTATCACATGTAACTGTGAATTCTCTCATTAGTCAGACTGCACTCATTCCAGCACATCATTTAATCTCTCTTTATCAAAACAGTGTATAGACAAAGTTAACTTATCTGAAATGTAGGTGGTCTCATCACTTCTCTCTGTGCTGTATTTGTTCACTGCTCTATTCTTTTTTGAGGTAGTCGTGCCAGGTAGCTTTTGATGAGTAACGTACTGTTCATGCTCATCTGTTGCTGTCATGAAGCTAACAAAGCCCCAAAGATGCCACCAAAGGTAAAAATAAAGCCCATTGCATGATACTGAAATCAGCTTTTCTGCATGAGTGTGTGCCCTAGGCCATCAGACAGCTCTTTTCCTTTTGATTCTCTCAATCTCTCTTTGGAAAACATCTTGCTCATTTGCACAAAGAGAAAGCACAAATCCCCCAGATTATACATGAAGGAAGCATAACATCTCACTCAAAGTCATTTTATGAGTGATTAAAACTTAATTGCAGATACAAGTTGTTAGAGAGGGTGCAGAGCTACAGCCACTGCAGAGGCAAATATTCCCTGTTCTGTTTAGTGTGAGAGCATGCCCATTTCTTGGCTACATAGTCATGCATGCACCATGGATGTTTGCAAGCATAAGGTAATTTATGTTAACATTGAAAATGTGTTTACAAGTACTCAGCTTCAGAAATCTGTTGTGTTGTCTTGCTGTATAGAAGTGGCCAGCAGAACACACCGTACGTGCAGCACAGATATAATTTGGATCATTGCTCAATGCCCACAGGGACAGGGTTAATAAAGTAAAAGGGAACAGAGCACCAAAGCACTGTTGATAACTGTATGTGCACCAGAGACCATTTCATTGGCTTTGTGGAAAAGCTTTTTATCATGTAATTTCTCAATATTAAAAACAATGCTTGGTACTGCTTATCCAGAAATCTACAGTTCCAACCAGAAAAATATATAGACTGACAAAAGGCTATTATTGGGAAAGTCACGGTAGGAATTGCAATGAAAAAGCAACTAGCCAAAGGAGAAAATTCAGTAATCAAGCACTATGACATCAAGGTTGGTCCGGGATCTGTAATGAAACTCAAAATTTGAACAGCAGTGGTGTAATTCTGGAAGGAATTCAGGTATCTCCACTCTAATTATTTCCATCACAAAGGTAGGAACGCAGGTTAAGGGTCTGCCCAACACCATATGACAGAGCCCATTCTAATGTGGAGCCCAGTGACTCCTGAATGTGGTACCATTTCCTTTCACCATGTACTTGCTCCCTGCTTAGAACAGTAGGTCAAACACAATTTGTGAAGACACCAGGAGAGGAAAAACCTGTGGTAAGGGGTTGTTTACAGCAATAAGAATTAAAATGAGACTGCTATGTTTTCATCATGGCAGAAGTAGAGAGAGCAGCCTAAGGTAAGTGTGGAGCTGGGGGTGTAGAACGAGACAAGACTAGAATTAGCAGGGCTGTTGAAACAGCATCAGCCATCTCTGGAAGGGAGGCCTGGGAAATCCCCACATCCCCTGCTTTATCACACAGGGAGGGATTTGGGGAGCTGAACTAAAGGGAATAGGAGAAGGAGGAGGAAAGAGAGACACTTGCAAGCCAGCTGTGGGCAGCATTGCCCCCTGGAGTGAGGTCCAGCTGGGGGAAGGAGGGAACCTGGCCAACCCGGGGCACAGCTGTAATTTTAACAACCAGATGGGAGGCTCAATGCCCTGCCTGAGGGGCAGGAGCCTATATATTTTCCTCCAGCAGCAAGATCACCTTTTCATTTCTCACCCTGCACTGACAAGCTCCACTTCAGCATAATCTGCTCTCATGGAGGCACAGGGAAACCAAGCCAGACACTGCTGGATCAGAGAGCTTTGGGATGGGCACACTCAAGCTGGTGGAGCAGCAGTTTGAGTCAGTCTTTTGTAAAGTGGCTTTAGAAGCCACGGGACAGTGGCTTATACTGTCTCTTCTCTCTAATAAAGGCTCACAGAGGGTCTTAGCTGGCTGTCGTGGCTGTCAGGGAGGGAGGGGGAAGGACCCGACACGGTTTGTTTTGCACATGTTTTAATCAGCAGAGCAGTGCTTCATGAGTGCTCTTATATATGCCAGAAACAACCCTCCTACATGGAGTTGTCAGTGATATTAAACAGAGTGAGAAGGCAAGAAGGTCCAACCTCACGTGGGCCAGAGCTGCTATTTTCAGGGTCAGATAGAGAGCCTGAAGTCTGGACTCTGACTTAGGAGAATACTTTCCTCTCAATTCTGTTGGACAAAATGAACAGGCTCTGCCCTGGGGCAGAGGACATGGGGATGAGGAGTGGTGACAGGAAACCCCTGCAGAAGCCATGGCTTTTTATGACAAGCAGTTAAAGGCTGGGGTTTCCCCACAATTCCTTGAATGAACAAGTGCATGTCTTTCCTCTGCTGAGTTTGTGTTTGTCCTTCTCAGCAGTGCTGGATCATTGTTCCACTACAATTGTTCCAGTGACTGATGCTAAGAAGATAACACTGAATTTAGACTGCTGGGAGCTTATAATTACTTCTTCTGAAAGTCTGTACAATATATACATGTGTGTGTCCACACTCATATATATATGCACACACATATATACATATATACACACTCATATATGTGTGCATGTATATATGCAAGTGAAGTTGCTGCTCACCTATTGATACCCTGTACATCTTCTTTTACAAACAGGAAGAGGAAAATAATACTTCAAGACACTGAATAAAGAGTCACAGATCGAAGGGACAACTCTACTCAGGTTGCTACTAACAACTGGAGTATTTTTGCTTTCAGTGTGGTGATAAGCCTGGGTTGTGCTTTTGGTACTGTGATGATCTTCACATAAACCAGTCACAGACTGATAGATCCTTATTCAAGTTCGGATTTTTTATTTCTTTTGGGCAAGAAATTGTAGTTTCATTCTGCCTGTAGTAACACAACCCCCCTTTTGAACATTATAATAATTACTGCTGGTAATAATTACTGATCAATAGCAAACTCCTCTGGCAACCCACAAGAAATACCTGCACTCTCCACTAAAATGGTGACAGGGAATTTCCCAGAGATACACCTAGTAGTGTTCTCCCATCCTTTTCCCTATTGGAAGCAGGAAGAAATGACAGCAAAGCCAATGAATTGGTTGTTCCCCAAGGCCTGTACCCATCACCAAATCAGAATGCTGTTGCACAAATGGAGTCTGCCACAGGAAAAAGTCTTACTCCCAGCAGCTTCCAAGGACTGCTGTGTTGACTGCAAGATTTCTCATCTGCAGGTCTAATCCTGCCCAACACAAGCAGTTTAAGCACAGACTGCTAAAGATCCCCTCGCCTTGCATGGGCTCATGATCAAGTTGTAATTGCTCAGCTATTGCATCTGTTTGCCTAATTAAAACCAGCTGCCTCTGTGTGAGCTCCCATCCAAGAAATAGCTGTGCAAATGCATTTTTTACTGTTAATGTAAAGAACAATTTTGTGGCCCCTGCCCCAACTGGCCCTTCAAAAGCAGCATTGGTGTTTTAATTCCTTCCAAGTTCACACAAAAATGTTACCCCTCAAAACAATCAGTTCCTATCCTTTCCTACTATCCAGCACAAGACTTGAGATGTTTCCCATTTGCATGGATTTATTGCCTAGTAATTATAGTTCATGAAATCCATTCACAGTAAAGTGAGTCCTGGATACTTCAACTCATCCTGGCAAACCAAATGTTTAACATCATGAAGGGTATAAAAATATAAGCAATCGTGTTTGAGTCACTTTTAGTACAACAGATTAGTTTGCAGGGTCTGGCAGTGTTTATAGTATAAATCACATTTTAGAGATGGGAAAATACTCTGAGATTATCTAGTTCAACTGGTTTTTTTGTAAGTGTATATTTTTTGCTGCCTTCACCAAAACCTAATTTGAGAAATATCTCCATGTACGAGATTTCCACCACTTCCCTTTGGGATTAGCCAACAACTCGACAGAAACCACTGTTAAGAAATATACCCTGACATTTAAATCTACAGTTTCCATTGCTCAGTTTAAGCTTTTTACTCCATTTAGCATCCTATTCCCTTCCCTTTCTCACTTTCTTCAGCATTCTTAGCCTCCAAAAACTTGCAGCTGGTTCAGCTGTGTCCTGTTGTTTTTCGCTGTTTCTCCCAGTTAACCTGTGTACAAGTAGAGACAAGGACACTTCTCCAGCTCTGCTTCCCTCCAGGCCAGGAATCACCCTACAGCTCTTGAACACAGTTTTGCCAGCAGCAGAAAAAAGAAAGGATTGCTAAGGACAGGTCAGTGGCCAAGACAAACAGTTGCTCTAACACAAGAGAGCCATTTGCAGTATTTTGAATTATTTCTCTTTTAATAGGTGTTTCCCCCCCCCCCCGGTAATGGTTCAATCACCTTTCCCTTAGCTGAATCACTCCTCTGACAAGAAAACAGGAGCAACCAACCGAGACCAGTTTGGAGCTAAAGGCAGCTGCTGTTTACTTACGTGTTTTGCTTTCTCACAAAACCGCTCGGTACGTTGTGGCCTTGACGCTGAGCAAGGAGAGACTGTGTGCATGGGGCATGTAAAGTGCATATTCCTCTCCTTGGCAGGAGTCCCTTGGCAGCAGCAGCTTAATGCACAGTTCAGAGCCCTGACTTCCTCCTCCTGACCCCCCTGCTTTATTCTGCACTTGATACACGCGAGCGCTCACCCCTCCGCTCGCTCAGTGCCCTTGTGGGGACGTGAGAGATGGAGCCATGGCCCCTGCTGAAGTCACTTCAGAATTCCCACCAACTCCTCTGAGGCCAGGATTTCACTTTAAATGACCCTTCTCCAGAAGCAATGAAGGATTAAAACTGTGCCACATGAGTGCACTGGTTAAAATGGAAGACTTGCTAAGCAGTTACAGGGTCCAAAATAAGTTACAGAGGGTCAAGTTTCCAGTTCAGTGAACCCCGTCAGCTGTCCCAGGGCACTGCCTCACTTGGGACCACAGACTTGCCATCCACACACACCAACGAGATTAGAGGCTGAGATTTCCAAAGTTCAGGGCATTGAAGGCACAAAATACATTTGCTTTTATGCTGACTGGGAACCAGATTCCTACCAGATCCAGCCCAGGAAAGCATATACTCTCCTCCAAGTTCAGAGAAGTGAGGTTTTCTGGATTTGTGACCTGCAGCATTAGTAAGACCAACACAACAGAAAGTATCACGTTTAGCTACTTCTGTGTCCACTTTCCTGTGTGGAAATGTCACAGACTGGATGAGGTTTGTGCATAACCAAAGAAACACCTCAGCCCTTCCTACAAACCCCTGCTCCTGAGGAAGTTCCCTTCTTAGTCCCCAAAACACATATCTCCAAGGAAGCAAAATGCTGCTTTCCCCACCTTAGCACCTTCAAAAGGGCCCAGGTGAGGCAGCATGTAAGAAGTAGCACAATCCAGAATTCCACAGAATGTTCAGCTGAATTCCTGCATACACCTCTCCCACTGAGGGCCTGCAGCAGAGCTGGTCCTACCAGCACAACACAAGCATGGGCAGTGCCAACATCCCCCTTCTGAGAAAAGGAGACCTATCTGTACAGAGCTCTACAGGGGCAAGAGATCTTCCATGGTGCCAGCAAACCAAATGCTCTGACATTACTTTCAATTCTATCATAGGCTTGACACACTGATCGTTACTCTGATCATATACCACAAAATGCCTCTGGTGTCCTGGAATCCCAATTGTATTGGATGGAAAGCACCTAAAACAAAAAATTCTAGGGCTCAAATGAACAACTATTCTGGATGCAAACCTGAATTCAGTGCAAGGTCAGAGTTTTTCCTGCTCAAAACATCAGATCATGACATAATTTGTCGCATGAATGTGTCAGTCAAAAATTATGCAGCTTTCTGACAAACCCTGGCCCATTGCTACGTTCAGCTCTCCCCTGTGAGAACGTAGTGTGAAGATCTACACTGTGTGCTGTCATCTCTGCAAGGTATTTCATCAGTCACCAGGCTGGTCTGTAATGTGCTTAACAGCAGAATTGTGTAAGCTCAAGGAAAGTGAAGGCAAAGAGCAACTTTGGCAATCCCTGCCCAGGCCAGGGAAGGTGATGAAGGCTGAGAATGGTCCTGCCGTCCAGTTACGTTACAGGTGGTGATTAGATATTTGCCAAAGGTTTTGCAGATGCTTGCAGTGCTGAAGCAAGGAAGCAAAGGCTCTGAAAAGAGATATATGTAAGCTCTTTTATTGCATCAAGCTGGTTGACTAAATGCAGCAAACAGTGTAAAGTTTTGTGTCTGTGGTTCCTCTCTTTGCTGAAGCTGATGCCCCAAGATAAAATTGTGGTTTATAATACCTTTATCAATAAAACGGTAATCAGCACTAGTTGTAATCAAAGCTCCTTTGCAAAAGAACAGCCAAGGAAGGGAGCTGAGCCTGAGAGAATGGATTTAATCAGCTTCATTGACATTTGGCCTGATTAATATAACTGGAACTGGTCTTCTATCTTGTTAAATGAAAGGAAGGCTTGTCAACACACCACCAGTAAACCCCCAGACTGATCACAAGAACCAGTCTTTACATTAGATTAGGGATGGGAAAAAAACCCCAACAACAAACAGCTGACACCAAATCACATTTGTCTTGCACTTCCACAAAGCTTTCTCCTGCCCTGAATGACACTGCAAGAGAGGACAATGGCTTCCTCCTGTCCACAGGAATTCAGTTAACAAACACCTCACTTTGCTCTCTGGAAATGGATACATTAAGTTAGTTCACGCTAGACTGTGTGATGGGGTCTTTGCAACCTTGATCTTCCTTTCATTCCCCCATGCATGGTGGGGTGTTTTTTCATGCTGCTCTTCTAATTTGAGGGATATACACCAAAAGCCACAGTTTCCAGTAGCAGAGGCAGCGCATCCAGACAGTTATCACTACATGCAAGCAACCTGGCAAAACATACCTGCTCCCCTGAATAGGAACCTGGGATGCACCTGGATTTTTTTCATGTGTTAAATGCATGTGAGGATTATTCCAATGAAAGGTGCCAAAGTGGCGGAGACTGAAGTCCCATATTGATCTCCCTAATGGGCAACAGCAACACAACGTGCCCCGGCCCTGACCCAGCTGCAGGGGCAGCCACTCTGGCGAGAGCACTGGGCCCCTCCATAAAGAAAACCAGCACAGAGAGCAGGTAAAGTCACCAGTCTGATGACCAGGCAGAGGGTGTTTATCTCCTGGGTATGAGAAATTATTCCCATCAGGAGATAGCTTTGTTTAACTTTGCTAAACATCTCCAAAGTACTTCTTATGGCTCATAACCTGGCATTGTAAACTACGGAGGAAATCTGCATGGTGGGTGCTTTTTATGGAAAACATAAAAAGACATTTTATAGGGCCTGCCTCTGGCAATTCATGCAGCAGCATCTTGCCTGCTCCAGGGATGCTGGGGAGAGCAATACCTGTCTTCTGATCATAGACAAGGATGCAACTAGTCCACAAACAAACCTTATCTATAATAAAGGTTAAAGCAATTAAAAGCTGACTCAAAGGTTCAGTGATGAGATATAAAGTCTTTTTGCCTCTAGACAACTGGCGCTAATTATATAGATTTTATTTTATTATGGTGTTGCAAAGTCATGATAGCTCAGGTAGTTCATGGGTGGAATAAGCCCAGTTCTCCTTAGACAGAGCTTCAGGCAAAGCAAGCCCAAAAGCAGTTGCCTTTAGGCAGGCCCCTGGCTTGTTATCTCAGTTTCAAGGCCAAGGCTTGGCAATCCTAGGACAAAGACTTGCTTTCAAAGATGGCTCTTCCCTTTTCCAGAAACAGACCATGTTTCTGCTATCCTCTCAACAGCACAGTGGTAAAAAGGTGTTTTACAGACAATCTTGGAGACAAGATTCCCGGCAATGAAGGATTGCAGTCAAAACAAAAAGCCAAAGAAATTAGAGAACAGAAACAGAGAGAAAGGAAAAAAATTATAAAGCAACTGGAACACACTGATTGGGGTCCTTTGGGATACTCTGCTGGAGCTGTCCTGGGGGCTGGCAGATAATCTCAGGACTTTGACTCTGAAAACTTTTGCCAGCAGCATCCTTTGGCCCTAGTAACATAATAGTCAAACACCTCAAAAGGGGCTGCCGAAGGCATTTGGATTCACTTGTGGCTAATTATAGATTTAAAGTTGTGGATGGAGCGGGTGTTTCCTCCATTAAAAAAGAGCATAATTGTCTAACTCCACACCCCCTTCCTTTCTAGTGCAGCACATACAGGGAACCTCGTACATCAACTACAAAGTGCACATTGTTCTATGTCAGCAGATAAATAATTCGCCATCTGAAGACTTGGAAGCTGTTCTCTTAGTTCAGGATTATTGTTCCACTTGAAGCATGAAGTTGGCAGCTTTACTTTCTTCTTCTTCCCGAGAGAATTGGACTGCTCTAAGACTTGAGTAACTTCCAGGCTAATAGCTCACCAAGATATTTGTGTGTGTGTGCGCGCACGTGCATTCCTATGGAAGAATTTAGGCAGAGAGGTGATTTCATTTGTCTTTTACTGTCATGCATTCTTAACTAGATACTCTTAATACCCACTCCCCCCCACCACCACCATGATGTTGCAACTGTTGCTTCTTGAATTTCTTTCAGTTATATTTAAAATCCCTGAAGCTATATCAGCCAAAAGTTCCAAGGGAGGAGGAAAGGGCTGTGTTGCTGGTTGAGGGCTTGATTTTGGTTTGGTTTGTTTTTTTAAAAAAAGTATGGGAGTGAATTATTGTTAATGCACATCTGACCAGGGTATTGCAATGTGGTCATGGCTGCCCACTGTGACAGCCTGTCACTTGCTAGACTACTGCAGCAATCAAGAAACATGTTTTCTGGCAGGCATGGACCAGTCTCATACTCCATTTTTCAAACCAAGGGGAGGTCCAGATGGTTATTCATTAGCCCCATTCCTAATTTTCAGTAGTCCAGAAAAACAAAGATCAATAAAAACTTCCATCAAGAGAGCAAATTCCTAATGTGGTTAAGCTTTTATTCTGGTATTCTTAATAGTAATTAAAATTCTCTTGAAGAAGAATGTTTTTCATTGACTTCAGCAGCCTTTGGATGAGAAACAGTCTGGAGGTTTTTGACAAAATGTTATTTTGACAGAAAATGCAGACTCACTGAAATTGAAACAGTTCCTGGGAATAGCTTTCACGGTGACAGCTCAGTAAAAATGCTGTTGTTATCTCAGGTCCACAATGTACTTTTCAGAATGAGAACAGGAAGAGAAAACATGAAGTAGCAAAGTGCTCTTGGGCAGGCCATTCACCCTGATACAGCAGACTCAGAGTTGAGTTCAGACTATGAATTCAAACACGTCTCAGGTTCTCCAAGAGAATCCAAATTACTGGGGCTTTAACTAGTTTCAATGGGCTGCTCCTGCTCTCCAGTTTGGGAGCTGTCAGTCCATCTCAGCATGGAGCAGGACTATTTTTTGAAGGTTTCAAGTGCTCTTCAGGATAGGAAAAAACATTTCCTGCCAGCTGTACTTTAAATTGGGCCATAAAACTTTACATTTAAAAACAACTGTGAAACATGACTCAAACAAGTCACCCTCGGGGCTGCACACTAAAGACAACAGCAGCTCTGCCATCAGCTTTGATGAGCACTCAGCTGTATATTTGTAGCCCCACATTTCATTAAAATATTTATACCTTTGTAAGAGACAGAGGAAGCATTCTACCTAGAAAGAAAAATGTGTGTAGTGCACACAATCTCATTCTGGACCTCTGCTCATATCAGAGATGCAATTGCCTAGACATAGAAAAAATTCTTGACCTTGAAAAT